ACTCATAATCAAGTTAATCTTATTCAACTGCGAGACTTCTCCCTTCTACCCACATTTGCCTATTTTTTTAGTTTCCTCCCTTTGTTGCTTATCACTGCTATAATTACTTTCATTTGTTGGAAATTTGCAGGACAGATTGTATCAACATTCCAGTTGTTGTTTTTTTTAACATTTATTTTAACATCTTTCTTATCAGCTCCATGTCGTCTTTGGAGTCCAAACTGAACGCCTTGCAGTGCCACTTCACCTGGGGTCTAGAACTTTCCAAATACAAACTAAACTATCTCAGTGATGCACTGGAGGACATCGCCACAGATGAGGGAAACGTCTGGCTGGGTCACATCTACAACCTGCAGGGGTTCATCCAGTACAAGCTGGGCTCCTCTGAACAGGCCTTGAACATCTTCAGACGAGCCACTGAGACCTTCCAGCGTCTTAAAAACTCTGATGAAGCTCCCTGGTTGATGGTGAACTTTGGGAATCTGGCTTGGCTGCACCATCTTATGGGTGAAGGTGAGAAGAGTCAGGATTACCTGTCAAAGATTGAAGCTCTGATGAGAGAATACCCAGCTCCACCTGGGGAAGAGGTCCACCCAGAGGTCTGTGCTGAGAAGGCCTGGACCCTGATGAAGCTTGACAAAGAGAAGAAGCTGCAGGCTGCAGAGCTCTTCCAGAAAGCTGTGAGGATGCAGCCAGACAATGTGGAATGGCAGAGTAGCTGCGCCATATTATCAGCAGAGGTCTTTAAAGAAAACTTACAGGAACTGTACACTGACATGCTGGAGACGCTGAAATCTGCCAAAGAACGAGATCCAGACAACTTATGTATTGCTGCTCTTTATCTGGAGGCTGGAAGTGCAAAAGGAATAGAAATAAAGAATGAAGCTCTGGAGTTGTCTGAAAAGCTGAAGAAGCTGCCTGCCAACCATTACACTGGAATCAGACTATTACTGCGTCTGAACAGAAAGTTTGAATTTGACGACAACGCTGAGGAATTTTCAAAGAAGAACCAGAGAAAAAAGCAAGACAGATCTGATGCAGAGCGTCTTAAAGAGAAGATATTTTCCAAGGATTTCAAACATGACAAGGAGACGATCGATAAAGCAATCGAACTCTGGGAGGAAGTGACTAATGCTGATCCTGAATTTTCTCTTGAAGATAATATAACTTTAGCATCCATATATGCAAAGAAAAAAGACGGGAACGCTGACCAGATCTACAACAAGCTGCTGGAAAAAAATGACCTAGATCCAGTTGGAAAACAGATGCTTTACAACCGTTATGCAAAACATTTATATTTCTTTAAAAATGAGAGGAAGCAGTCAATTGAGTTCCACATTAAGGCAGCAGAGATTCCAGAAGAAACCTTCTATCGAAAAAGCAGCATCGCAGAGTTGAGAAAGTCTCTCAATAGAATTCAAGATCCAGAAATAAGACAGAAAATATCATCCAGAATAACTGAATTTCTCAGAGATATTTAAGTTTCCACATTAGCATAAATACTAGCTGATTCATTTAGAGCTGTAAAAAGTTTGTTTAGGGTTCTAGTTTGTTTCTATTCACACAGATTTCTCTCCTTCTTATATAACATGATGAGCGCAACCATAAAACCTGGTGACTTTTAATAAAAAAAGACACAGCTCCACCTAGAGTTCTGTGCTGAAATGAACAGGACATTGTTTTTTAACATGAGCTTATCTTAGTTTGACTAGAGAGGGGATATCCTGAGTCATTAGAGTAGAATAAATATTACTTTATTGTCTCCTCAGAGAAATTTGTCATGGAATAGGTAAATCACAGTACCTATTCCTTCAGCTCTGTGATATTCTGGTTTTTCCATTTCAGAGCAGGAGAACATGAACTCAGATCCACCGCAGCAGCAGGAGGAGGATAGAAAGTGTCGTAGCACACATTTCTCCCCAGTGGAGCTTGAAATAAGAATAAAAGCATATGAAGATTAACAAAGAATTAGCAAAAAAGGAAAACTTACAAACCTTTGAAACGGTTATCCATGGCTTTGTTACATCTCGGCTGGACTACTGTAGAGCACTTTATTTTGGGGTGAGCCAGTCCTCCCTCGCACGTCTCCAGTGGGTGCAAATGCAGCCACATGCCTTTTTAATGAAGTATGTTAAAGGGAGCACATGCCTCCCATTCTGGCCTCCCTTAATTGGCTGCCTGTGCATTTTAGAGTTCATTTTAATATATATATTTTTTTAAATCTTTAAAAGGCTTGGCCCCTCCCTACCTTCTGAGCTTCTTCATCCCTATGCTTCCTCTAGGTGAAGCTCAGAGGAGACAGAGCTTGTGGTTGCTGTTACAAAATTATCAAATGAGATCCACCTCCTCATCAGAGAATCTTCTTGACTATTCTTAAAACTCGTCTTAAAACCTATTTTGTTCTTTGACTTTTTACACAGCATGATACTCTCTATGTTTTTGCATTTTGTGGTTTGTTTATTGTTCTTTTTTTAATAAAGGTTTCATTTTTTTTATGAATTTATTTTATTATATTTGTTTTATTCCTTTAAACTTCTATTTTGTTTAAAATATATTACCTTTACCTGATATGTACAGCACTTTGTGGCAGCTGTGGTTGTTTTAAAGGGCTTTATAAATAAAGTTGAGTTTGGTTGAGTTACAAGAGGCTAAGTCAAGCTTTGTCATTTATAAATAAGGAGTGCATGGATGAAATATGAGACTAAGTGTAACCCTGCAGATAAATAAAGATAAAATATAGTTAGATTAGATAAGGTCCAATTATCAGCTATTCTGTTTAACTTTTACCACCTGATATACAAAGCATTCACTGGCTTTTGACAGCAAATGAAATATGTAAGTTAAAACTTGTTTCATGACATAATGTGAAAAGGAGTGGATGTGAAGCTAAAGTCTCTCTAAAGCCAATTTATTTATATTTTTCTTGTTTTTTTTTTTTAATCCAGTTTGGGATATATTGTGCATTTATACCCCAGAGAGAAAGGAACAAAAAAATAAAATATAAATACATAGACATTTACATTATCAAGTCAACCCCAGTATATATATATATATATATATATATATATATATATATATATATATAAAATCAATTCAGTTCATTTAAGTATATAAAGTGCCAATTCACAACACATGGCATCTCACTACACTTTGCAGAGACAATTCAACCAGATCATACAAACAAATTGGTAAAAAATTTCTATCTAAGGGAAACAACCTGATTGCATCGACTCATTGACTTGACAGCAATCCCTCACACCAAGCCTACCTGTAACGACAGTGGAGAAGAAATCTCCCTTTTAACAGGAAGAAACCTTCCTGCAGAACCAGGCTCAGTGTGTGTGGCCATCTGCCGAGGCCAAATAGGAGACAGAAGGAGAGATACAAAAGATAACTGTCAATCAGAAGCATGGCTTAAGAGGACCGGCTATGAAAAGTTCTTGATAACAGATGTCAGTATGATCAGTTCAATGAACTCAGAGAGGCTTGGTGTAATTTGCGGTGTACCCCAGGGTTTTCTAATTGGTCCAAAGCTGTTTATATTGTATATCATCGATAGTTTTCTGGTTTATCAATTTTGTTTTTGTTAAGATCTATCCTTTTTGCTTACAACACAACCCTGTATGTATCAAGAGACAATATTCAGTAACTTGTGACTGAATGACTACTTCTGACTAAATAATTGTCTAAACTCTAGCATTGGTGTGATAAAAACAAATTATATTTTAATATAAGAAAAACTAAATAGATTTGTATTTAGTAACAAACAAATGAAGACGTAACGGTTGAGGAAGTCATTTTAGAAAGGGAAAAAGAAAGACAATTCTTGGGGTAACATTAGATCATAAGTTATCATGGAAACCGCATATTAAGGTCCTTCGAAATAACATTTCAAAATTGATTGCCTTATTCCACAAGCCTGGATGCTAGCACCAAAAAAATTTAAAAGGAGGAGTTTGACTTAAAGGTGTAGTAGAGGATTTTCGCTAACTTTTTAAAAGACCCACTCTCTCCACAAAAATGCACATGCACAACCCTGTACCTGATCCCGAGAAGGAACGCCCATTAAATGCGTGAAAGAGCATGCACAAGCCCAATAAATAACCTTTTCTTCCCAGTAAAGTTACAATATAGAGGTAGATGACATTTACTAGCAGTGATGTGAAATGGATCCAAATAGCATGCCAAACTTTACCTGTGAGTAGAAACTTTGTAACCAAGGCATCAATGGGAGACCCAACCTGTGCTTTCAGTGTACGTAAAAGAATCTTCCAAAAACACTCTGGTCTTCTTTCTCTCTTATGAGGCCTTTCTCTTCTTTTCATACACTTCACAGACACTTTTTCTCTTTCGAACCTCAGCCATTTTCAAACAACAGCGGTAGGAAAGACGAGCTTCAATGACTGGCTGAGACCGTAGCTCACCACAGATATACGTCTAAAAGTGTGCATGTGCAGAAAAAGATAGCTAACTGGGGATAAGCACCTAAGACGGCCTTACATAAACAAATCACAGAATGATTGACAATTAAGAAGACCACTTATTTTGATGATCCACCTGGAAAAAGGGAAATCTCCACTATATCTTTAAGACATTTTCTGTAAATCTCTTCTGTGCTTTCTCTGACAATTTATTTAATGTTAAACGTCTTCATAATGCTGCGTTCCTTTTGCTGTGGATATTTTTGTTAATGCTTTTGATATTATTGCTAATATTTGTTGTGTTAGCCAAACTCACGAGAAGGTGGCTCCCCTCATCCTCTTCATTGCCTTTTATAATGATGGTTTACACCTGATGTTTTTCATGTCACGTAGCAAACAATTTGTGGCTGAATGTATTTTATTCTTATGATGCAATTAGGTGAATATATGCAATTCTGTCTATCTTTTTACTAATGTCACATGACTGTCTAAATATATCACAGAGTAAAAAAATTATAAAAGCTTCACTAGGCTGACATGAAAGGCATAAAAAAAAAAAAAAAAGCATGGCAGCAACATAAACTGTCAGATCCATCATTAAAAACAAATGAATGCAGAAAATGCTAGAAACAGCAGCTTTATTTTTAAACTGTGTTTTTATCTAGTTGGATTTTCTGTGACAAGATTTTTACAGTTCACTACGGACATTTCCAAATTGCTTTTTCATACATGTTACATATCTAAATAAACATTACATTGTTTTTATAAATAAGCTATAAACAATATACTTTAGTTTAACAAAAAAAAACTTTTTCAGTTGTAATGTCTGACATTTTTAAATTAGTCTTAGATCACACCTCGTCACTCGAGTGAGTGCTCATGTGGAGTTTGAAGTTTTTCAACTTCACTGAATTCATGTTCAGAGGGCTGAAATGAAAAAGCTTCCAGGCCTGTATGAGTGGACATGTGACGAGTCAAATTAGCTCTGCGAGAGAAACACAGACTACAGAATTCGCACGGGAAGCGTTTCTCACCTGAGTGAACTTTCATGTGAGTAACTATGTTTATTTTTTGTATAAAACTTTTCCCACAAATCTTACAGGAGTAAGGCCTCTCACCTGTGTGTGTTCTAATGTGATGTATTAAATTACTCCTGTCACTGAAACGTTTTCCACATGTCTGACAAGAGAAAGGCTTCTCTCCGGTGTGGGTTCTTGTGTGAGTGATTAAACTATCTTTCTGGATAAAGCCTTTCCCACAGATCTGACACTCAAAGGGTTTCTCACCTGTGTGAGTTTTTGTGTGACGGATTAAATGAATCTTCTGACTGTAACCTTTTCCACAGGTCTGACATGGGAAAGGTTTTTCACCGGCGTGCATGCTCATGTGAGATGCCAAACGATCGTCACGAGAGAAAGTTTTACCACAGATTTCACATGGACGTTGTTTCCCTACAGAGTGAATCCTCATGTGAGTTACCAAGTTACTTTTTTGAACAAACTTCTTTCCACACATTTGGCACGAGAAACGCTTCTCACCTGTGTGAGTTCTGATGTGGTCGTATAAATAACACTGGTTGAAACTTTTACCACATATCTTGCATAAAGCCCTTTTCACCGCACCATGTCTCTTTGGTTTCGTTTTATCCTCGTTATTCTGTCTCAGTATAGATGCTTTATCATTGGTCACCATCTGGTCTGGGTGCTCCGCTCCAGTAGAGTTCTGGGAGAACAGCTGGTCCCTATTTGGTTCTCCCTGCTCTCTGTCCTTCACCATTATGGTACCAGTCTCCTGGTTCAGAACAAGCTGTTCTCCAGCCTGACTGATGCAGATTTCACCATGTTCCTCTTTTAAATGCTGAAATTCAGTTGTTTCCATTTCCGTTTTAATCAGGGGAGCTACAGAATCTTTTGGCTCCTTCACCGACTGCCATGCTTCTGGTTTCTCTTGGTCCAAACCGGAGATTATCTCTTTGTTTGAAGGCTTCTGGCCCGACTGAAGCTCTGTCTCTTCACAGCTGTATTGATATGGAATATCTAGAGAAACAAAATTGTGATTGTTATTATTTAATTATATTAATTCAATCATTTTGTTCTTCTTAGTGTCTTATTAATGTAGGAAGACCTCTCCTTGGTTCTGAGTAATTGGTGGGTGGATCTGCCTCACTTTTTTCAGCCCAAACACAATGTAAAACCCACTCACTCCAAATCTTCACCCTCTTGGACCTTCTGTTAAAATCTAGAAACTATGCCATATGTAATAAAGAAGACATCACTGATTTAAATGATGATACAGTTGCACTCAGATTTCTGGACAAACTAATTGCAGTAAGCTCGGGATAATAGTTGTCGTATATAATCGTTAACTCTGTTATCGAAAACCTGAAAACCTTGGAAGCCAAGAGCAGATAAAGCCGGGGCGATGTGGGCGGTCTGAGGTCTGTTTAAAGCTGACTTGATCATTTAAATATCCAATTGTAACATCGTTCTTTAAACTTTACAGACTTTTTTAAAGTGACCCTCCAAGGACCTGATCAAACATGACCCTGAGGTTCCTGAGGACAGTTTTTATGGATGAACAACAAGGTGTGCTTTAATCATTTTATAAGAAAAAAGCTCAGATTTTCTGTTTAGTTTGTCTTTACCTGAAGGTCATTTGAAGATGGTCAGTTTTTGACACACATTTAAAAAAAGAGGAGAAAGTGAAAGAGTGAAACTCTGGGTCATTAGAACTGCATTAAAACTGAATCTAATTGAATTTTTATTATCTTAATTTCCTGCTTATATGCACCACAATGTCAGCATACCACTGTATGAGAACGGGCCGAGTCACTAATTACTAGGGGTGGAAAGGTACAAAAAACTCACGGTTCGGTGCGTACCTCGGTATTGACCCTACGTTTCGCTGCGTACCTCAGTATGGACCCTACGGTTCAGTACGTACCTCGGTATGGACCCTCGTTTCGCTGCGTACCTCTGTATGGACCCTACGGTTCGGTACGTACCTCGGTATGGACCCTACGGTTCGGTGCGTACCTCGGTATGGACCCTACGGTTGGTGCGAACCTCGGCATGGACCCTACGTTTTGGTGCGT